TCTTAAATGATCTCTTTTGATTTCTGTTTGTTCATTTCTCTTAGGGACCTTTCCTAAGACAGGCTGCCCATGTTAGTGACAGTCATGTGAAGACACAAGCAGCTCTTTTCCCCAGGGAAACACTCTGATCACTTTTACCACTGTTCTGCACTTCATCGTTAACAATCTTTCCCTAGTCAATCTGTGCGATTTCTCTATTGACCAGGCAGTCTGAGCAATTCGAAAATTCACTTGGGTCTGTGAATTCCCCTTGCCATCTACATTGCAATCATGTTAGGGTCATGGCTTTGCTTAGTATTGACTAATTCAAAAACAAAACAAAAAGCCAGGAGATTTTCTCTTATTCCTGTGGCATTTGGGAGCTGCACTGGAAAGAACATCATCAAAGGATGATAAAATATTATGTTTTGGAGCGAAGTTATATGTCTTTCTTATTTACTAGCCAGTGTCGATAGCAGTAAGAGTCAAGGTCAAGGAACTACTCAATTCAGGGAACTTTCAGGAAACCAAATGGGAAATTTTCATACATCACTGCAGTTCTAGAGCTGAACTTGAAAAGTTTCATGTTAAGTCAAGGCTGTTATGTAGGGCTAGGAACCTGAATTTTGATATCAGAGAGCTCTAGATTTGAAATCTGCCTCCTGCTAGCTTTATGATATCCTGGCATCCACACGATTCTTGAACTACTACTGATGATACTACTGAGACTATCTAACCTGTATTGAGCACTTATCATTTCCAAGGCAGAGTGTTATACTCAGGGCTTTATGGTGTTTATACTTACTCTCATTTAACCCTCATGCAAACCTCATGAAGAAAGAAGCTAATTCTTCTAGTACATTTAGTTGGCATTGAATCTAGGGCAGGTACTCAGTTATTCCAACTCCATATTCTAAGCTTTTAGCCACATTCAACTGACTTTCTGAACATCTGTCTCCTTATCTACAAGGTAAGTACAATAAAAACTCTCTTGTAAGTTTGTCAGGAGAATCAGGGATCATGTAGTAAGGCATAGCTTCTAAGACTGGTTATTCACCAACTCTGTTGGTGATGCCACTATTAGTAGTGATTTAAGCCTTGGTCAGTGTCTGGTAGGAAGCATTCTCAGTGCTTTCTTCTTTGCATACATATGCTATGAACAGAGTCAAACCCCACTAACTTAGGAAAGTTAAAAATTCCAAAGTAGAATTCCAATGGTTTGGGCAGGGTCAGCCAATGGGAGCCTGCCTAGAGATACACACGCTCCAGTAATGTACCTGTAGATAGTCACTTCTTTCCTTTGGAGCCACAGGAACACAGACATGGATCTGAACCCACAGTCCACAGTGTAATCTTTTTCTTCCCACAAAGCGAAGATCTTTCTCTCTGGTAGTTCTTCTACAAGGCATGCTGCCTGGGATTTTGCCAGACAACATTTTAAATTTATCTGACCCGATAGCATCAAATGACCTTTCAAAAGATACTGATAACCAAGAATCCCAATGCAAATATGGGCCCCTGGCCACATCCAAAGCAACAGCCCTCACTTAGTGGCTTTCCCTTCCTAAGCACAACAACTAACTGAGGCCAGTGTTAGAAAGCACCAGTGACTCTTACCTGTGAGCTTAAAGGCTGGATGTGTAAATGTTCAAGATATGCATTTATGCTATAGAAATACTTTCAGAATAGACATAGTAGGTACAGCACGGTCCTCCAAGCCTCCCACGCACCAAAGGAAAAGCCAGGACTGGACAGACAGCTTCTAATCCTTACAGGAGCCTGCTGGTTGTCACCCAATGTTCTCTCACCCCACAACATACGGGCAGACTGAGAATGTGCAATGCTACATCTGGAGCACCTTCTGCTTGCTGCCCTGCAGCCATAATGGCTCCAAACCATGGGTCATATGAAAAATACTTAACTAGTATATTACACAATTATTTAAATATGTCCCAGGCTAAAATTTCCATTTCTAAATAGTATTTCTCAACATGCAAACGTGGATCTACCTGCATCAGAGTCACCTGAGTGCTTGTCAGAAATGCAGATTCCTAAGCATATTTGTCTATTTATCAGTTTATTGTCTCCCTTTTGAGCATGTAAGAAGACCCATGGAGTAGAAACTGGTCTGTTTACCCTGATACACCAGATCCTAAAAATTGTCAGCTTATAGTAAGCGTTCAATAAACAAAGTAACTCCTCAAGCCTATACTGACCTGCTGAATTAAAATCCCAGGAATGGAGTCAGGAATCTGCACCTTAGACAAGTATTTATTTGATTGTAGTGTATACTAAGTTGCAGGAACCAGTGTTCCAAAGTAGTTCAGTTAATCCTAAGATCAAGAAAGAAAAAGCATTATTTTCAGAGGCCCCCATATTCACTGTCTGGTCAGATATTAAGGTATAATAGACATTTTAATATCCTGAGGCTAAACTTTTCCTTCTAGTCTATACCTGAGACAAATATCTATCTACCCTCTGCCTTATGCCAGGCTCTAGGTTTCTCAGGGACAAGACACAAATGGGCTTGCAAGACAGAATGCCTAGGAAAGACTAGGGCCACTCCCACCTCTTTCCACAAAGCCAGAGGCAAACACTCAGAATTGATTACTAGACAAGCTCCCTCCCCCTGCCCAAAGCTGACTGATAGAAAATGAAACACACTATGTGTTCATTACTGTTTCCAGAAAAGCTTGGATGACACCTCTCATTCACCAAAATCAGATTCTATCTTATCCTGAAGGAATCCAATCTTTCCAGAGGGCCCCTTCAAGTTTATTATGGAAGCTCGGCATTTTATGTCTAGTTCCAGCCCATCTTTAACCATCAGCAACTTGTCTTGGGTAGATGACTTAACTTTGACAGTCACTGCACCTCTCAACCCATTTCTTGTTTGGAAAAAATGAGATTAGACTAGTATCAGGTCTGGAGCCTCTTCCAATTCAAGTGTCCACTAACCTCTGGCTTCTCAGTGATACTTCACTGCCTTACAGTTAACAAAATGATCTGGTGGGATTTGATGGGAAAATAGTGATTGTCAAGCTTGTCTACTCAAAATTCTCCAAGCTTCTGGCAAAGTAGGTAAATTTCAAGATTTATAAAATGATTTCTAAGAATTCTTCTCTCGAGTTCCATGTTTACTTATGAAATTACTATGACAGTACTAATGTGCTCAGAACTGTTTGTAAAGGATTGATATAATGCCCAAATTTCCTCTGAAATGTGATCAGAGTTCATAATGTTGATAGCAGGACCTGAGCATCACCTGGTCTTGGAGAGGTTGAATGTCACTGCTTTGCGCAGGTTGCCCCCGCAGCTGTGAAGGATAGCAAAAATATAGGGAGCAAGACACCCTCCCTCTTCTCCCAAGTCTCCTGGGAATTCCCCAAAGGTAGGCCGCTCTGAATCTGAGCCTATAACCTTTGCATCAAATGTATCTGTAATGCCCTTTGTCTGATTCCAGCCCAACAAACTAATCACTACTAACTTGTTCATTACCATTTCCCAGGTAATTACATGTGAATTGCTTTGCTTTGGAAAACAATTTCACCTAAATCAATGATTCTCAATGCTTTGAGGTTTATTGCCTGCTTTATATTCTAATTATGTTGTCACACCTCCTTTGTAAGTCTGAAATAAAAATGGTACACAATATACCCACTCCATACTCACTGTATAATGCCCAAATTATTTTTAAAAATGAAGAAAAGAAGCTGGGAACAGTGACTCACACCGGGAATCTCAGCAGCTTTGGAGGCCAAGGCAGGAGGACAAGTTCAAAGCCAGCCTTAACAATTTAGCAAGGTCCTAAGCAACTTAGTGAGCCCTGTCTCTAAATAAAATATAGAAAAGGGCTGAGGATGTGGTTCAGTGGTGAAGCACCCTGGGTTCAATCCCTGATACCAAAAGAAAAAAAGAAGTTGGAGAAGTAATTTATAATAAAACAACATATTTCAATATGTAAAAGTTTAGGCAAGACAATGCTATAAGATGTAATAAAGTCTCCCAGTGCACCTTATTTTTCCAAATTCTTTATGATCCTGATATGAAAATCTTAGTAACCTTAGTGACTATTTCACTGCCTGTAGTACCTTGTAGCTACTCTGGTTTTTGTTTGTTATTTTCTTCTACTTGAAGTCTTGAAGTAGGAGTGGCACACTACATACAAACAATCTGGACAATTGAAGCTAACATTTATTGAATGCTTACCATATGCCAAGTCCTTTTAAATCATTTTGCATTTGTTAACTTATTTAATTCTCATAACTCACTGTTATTTTCCAGGGATATTTGGCAAAGAAAATTAAGAAATTTTAGTAAGTTCACACACCCAGCCATTTCTAGCTTTCTAGAAATCATCTCCAATTACCATAAAAATCAGCCAAGCTCTATCTGTGTTTCTATCATAGAAAAGAAACATTTGGGGAATGAAATGATGTTACTTATTCCAATGTCATTTTACTTAACTGATTGAAATTTGAGCCCAGGAGTCCTTGGCCTATTTTTTGCTTTTAGCACTGGGAATCTACTTAAAGGGCTTTTGGACTTAATATTTTCATTTTAATGTTTCAGAATGGATTCTTCTTGGCATTTTATCTTTATATGAATTGCAGATCCATTCACTAGACATTTTGGAATAAAAATGTTCTTTCTGCACTCTCCATTCATTGCCAAATGCTTGCTCTGAATCAGACTTATTTTAAGTAAATTAAGAGGATGACTTTAAAAGCAGAGTAGAGGGACTCCATGGCCATTCTACCAAGAATAACACAGTATGGTCAGAAGTCTCCCACATGTGCTAAGAAATTGTTCTCTGACATCACTCAGGGAAGTAAATGTGTTTTGTTTTGTTTTCTTGGAAATAGCCAAGGAGTTGTTTTAACTGAGCATCGTAATCAATAATATAGGGCTGAATTTTATCCTCATGTGGCTGCTTACATCATAAGTCAAGAAAGTAAATTATTCTAAGCAAACCTATAATATATATATATATATATATATATTTTTTTTTTTTCTTTCAGAGGGAAAATGATCCCATCTGATCTTGAAAGAAGAATCCTTGAAGCAAAACAGAAAGTAAGTTTTTGCAGAGATCTTTATCTAGCCCATAACAAATTGAGGATCCAAATTTGTAATGAGGAGAGCCCATTTATCTTTTACTTTTAAAACAGGATTCAAATCCCAATCTCCCAGCTTTAATGAGAATCTGGAATTCCGCATCCAGCCTGTGTCTTTGAGTTATGTATAGGCTCTGCTTTAGAGAAGCTTTAGTTCCTGAATAAAATATTTGTACAGAAATACTGTCAGAGTTCCCAAAGCTTTTGTCTCCCTGTGTGCTGAGGGTTGGCATTAAGCAGACACACATTTGGAAGATCATCTTCACAAGTAGGAAGCAGCAGAATGCGTTTTCCTGCCCTCAACACATGCCTAGATGATTTGATCTCCATTTATCTCATTTTACTGGCAGCCATTTAGAAGTCTTTTTAGAAGTTAACAAGTTCTGAAGAATCACCACAAGCTCTGGAAAGTCATCCTGGTTTGTAAATCAGAGAGTTTGGTTTTAGAATTCTCTGTTTAACTTTGAGTCAATATAATCTATGGTTCCTGGTTCAGTACAATATATGTGCATTTTATTATTAAGAACTCAGAAATAATTATTTTCGTATGCTTTTCTCCCTACAACCTGATTTTTGCACCAGAATGCTTCTAGTCACATAAACCATAAAATTAAACCTTTGCTGCCACCTAAAGACCGATTCTGTAACATCATGTTCTATAAATCAACAGGACACAGTCATAGGATGAGTGACTAGACTGATCCTATTTGTGGCATTCTTCCCCGGATGCCTTCAGCCACAGCCTATTATTTCCATCAATTTTCATTTAGCCATGGCCAGACAGACTGAGGGCTACTTAGATGGATGAAAGCCCTGGCTTATTGTTTAGCTCCATGTGAACCATCCCTTCTGAAAGGCTCCAAATAAATTATCGGAGCATTTTCCAAATAGCATTTTCCAAACAGGCTAGTCAGGGTTCCTTCTCTTCCTTCTGCCTGCTCATGCTGGGAGATGTATTAAGTTCAAAGACCCCCACGGTGCAAAAGGAAGACTAAAAAACTAGCAAAGATAGTAAAGGGGGCCAGAAAGTCTACCTGGAGCGCACAAATGGCTTGTGGACACCACTCACAACCTTGGATTCCACTTAGCCTCTTTGAGGAACAGAATGTCTGTTCTCACAAGACAATGGTCAGGACCAGCAGAATGACCTGGATTCTGTGGAGTGGACATTGATTTGTACCAAGCTTCAGGGAGGTGATAACCCTTCTGAGGGTTTCAAAAGTGCAAAGGAGTATGAGAGGGGACGGGGTTCCATTGTTTTAAAATCAGCTTTTAGAAGAATCCTTGAATCCCTAATTACATTATTTGGGGGTCTCTCATTTGTGCAGGGATATGTTCCTTTCCTTGTGAGTGCCACAGCTGGAACCACTGTGTATGGAGCATTCGATCCCCTCTTGGCGGTTGCTGACATTTGCAAAAAGTATAAGATCTGGATGCACGTGGATGTAAGTATCCCTCAGGGACTGGCCAGTAAAATGTCCTTGCACTTTCATCTGGGTCTCATGGAATATAATTTTTTTAACTTATGCAGCTTATTTTCAGAATAGTGGTATTTAAACTTTTCACAGTTTCGCAGGCAAATTAACACACAACTAATATGTCATACAGAATTTGCTGGAAGCAGCCTGAGGTGATTCTGCTTTAAATTTCCCAACATGGAGATATTCTTATTTCTATGGTCAGTGCTCAAACAGATCAGGGTTCTCAATTCTTTGAGCCATAATGCCTTGGAGGAACATAGCCTGCTCAGTCACATGCATGCAGCTCTTCCTTCCTTAAAAGAATAAAAAGGTAAAAAAAATCATTTATATAGGAAATTCAGAGAATAAATTACTTCGGCCCAAGTTAAATATTTGTATATTTGTGGAGGAAAGCAAGTTTGACAACTTAGTAGGAAATACAGACTATCAGATTTCTAGTCTGTCAGCTTGAGCTTGGTCAACTAAGAAGCTAAATTATATTTGAGATGCTTTGATTCCAGAATTAATCACACACACAAAAATAATAATAGAAGCATACCACATTTTTCAAATAAAAAAAGAGTCAATTTTTAGAAGGATGAATTCAAGGGATTTAAGTTTAGATCCTTTTTACTCAAAGGCTGGCTTGAAGATCAGCTGTTATCTGCAAATTGTTTGCTAATGATCCATGATGAGGTAAAGAGAATGCCAAACCATCACTAACCACAAACCATCACAAACTAATCACAATGTTTGGTTTCCTTGTTTTGTTTTCCTTGTAAGACTCTCTCAATAAAGGAAGCTGTAAGTTGATATATATTCTGGTGCAAGATCCTTATGCTGCTCTGGGGCTGGGATCATTTTGGCTTGCCAGTCCACCTTATCCACCTTAACTGTAGTGATGGGTGACCTTAGTGTTTCTCAGTGATAGTAATGGGGTTGGGGGAAGGATCTTTCTCCTTCTCATGTAAACGGAACTGTGCCCCAAAATTTGGCTTCTTATACCCACATAAGTGTAGGAAAAAGTCTGAGATCTTAGAATGTTTCTCTAACTCAAACTTTAATTGTCCGCCTCCTTCATTTACCTGGGGTCAAGCAGATCATTTTCATACTATGAGACTCTTCATCTGTAAGACACCAAACTATAGACATCTAGGTCATTAAAAACTTCTACCTTTTCCTTTGTCTGATCCTTTTCAGGCAGCTTGGGGTGGTGGATTACTGATGTCCCGAAAACATAAGTGGAAGCTGAGCGGTGTGGAGAGGTATGTGCATTTTCTCTTGTTAACAACATAAAGCATTGAAAGGTAAATGTGAAATGCAAATGCACTGCATTTGCAGGATCTTTAGGATGTAGCTGAGCCCCCTCTGCCCCATTCTCGTGTGCCTCGCCTTGTGTGAATCACACTCAGGAATACTATGTGTAAGCTACAAAAAAATAAATAAAATGAAATCCCATATCGAGTGACCTTTCAGTTCTCAGGCATAAAAATTCTTACTTGGGCTCCATTCCCGAGATCTCTGAACCAACTACCAGTATCATTTAAAATCTTCAAGTAGTCCATATTTTTCTAGGAAGGAAGAGGTTCTATAGCGTTCATGTTCCTTAAACAGATAACATGCACTGTTTTCCAGAAGGCTGTAAATAAATTTTTCACACCAAATAAGCACCTTGGAAGTTATCAATGTTGAAAGTCCAGATTTGGAATTAAGTATAGTCAGTTAACTTAAAGTGAGACATGCTCTAGATAACCTCATGTCATGGCTTTGTCCCATAGTAACCCTTTTCTTGCATAGTTCTGATTGATGCTGGAAAGTAGCTTTTATTTAGAGACTAAGCAGTAGACCATTGATAAAAGCTGAAAAATACAAAGGAGGTCATGTCTGATTAGCATGAAGCATATTCAGGTCCAAGGGGGAGGATGCAGAATGTAAGCTACAGCCGCAGGCTCTGGTTCTGGACCATGTGCAAAGGGAGTAGAGTTTTCCCATCACGACATGGCCAGTCAGCCAGGTCAACCACAGTTGTGAGCTCTGACACTCACTCTGACACTGAGAAAGCCTGAATTCATTAGAGGCTGCCAAATGCCCACCATGCCCTGCCAAGTAGCCAGATGCTACCCAGGAAAAGGTTCACACTGGCTCTGCCCCCAGACATCTTGGCACAATTTCTGTTCCAGGGCAAGGAGAAAGGCTGATGAAGTTTTAGAGCATCTGTCAGCACTGGTCAAACAGGGCACCCAGGCCAGAGGGAATGTGTGGAGTGTGCTGTGTGACACCCAGGCCAGAGGGAATGTGCAGAGTGTGTTGTGTGTCAGGCAGACCTATCATGTGCAGAGAACTCACAGATGTGGAGACGGACGTGTATTCCCTGCTGAATTAGTAGAAAAAAGGTAAGGGACAGACCAACCAAACCCCATGTCACAGGGTGACTGTCCCAGATCTGCTGACCAAAATAAAGTCTGGCCTAGGCATTTCTGAGTTAAGGCACTAGAGCTGCCCATGCTTGAATGGCAGGACATATTAAATGAGGAGGAATACCAGCAGGGATCGTCATCCTCCCAGAGTCTATCAGTTCTAGGGCTCTGCTCCTGGCCCTCTGGGCTTCTTCCAAGTCTAATCTCTTTTCAATATGAAGATACAAATGAAACTAGAAGCTTAAGGAATGTACAATGAACTAAACAAGGAGAGACAATGAGCAGAGAGAGAGAGAGAGCTTGGAAGGTGCTGCCCAGGTGCTGAGAATAATTAAATTCAGAGCTATGGGTATGACTCAGAGATAGAGTATTTGCCTAGCATGCTTGAGGCCATGGTTAAATCCCCAGCAAAACACACACACACACACACACACACACACCTCAACCTGCGTGGCTGTTAATTCAGAAACCAGGCAATGGCGGATGGAGAAAAGACAAACAGATACACATAGAGAGAAAAAGCTGGGGCCCAGTGGTCATTACACCCTGATAGAGATATAATGACCCAAGCTAGCTCAGCACATTTATTATATTATTATCATTTTAACATCAAAAGGATTTTTGTGTGTGTGTGTGTGAGAAAGTTTATTCAAGGCATGTAGGACAAAGGATGAACTTCTGGATAGCCCAATTATAATTATTAACTTTGCACTCATAATTCTCTACCCCCAGCAGCTGATGTTTGATCTCAGTGTCAAGACTGATAGTCCTGTGGCAAGCACGGAACCTCCTTTGAACAGGGTGTCACCACAGTGTCACAATGAGAGATCATGATTCAAATCACCATTACACACACACACACACACACACACACACACTAAATCCAAGTACTTTCAAAAGAGGCAGACTATGTACAGTACTTTCTTTTCTGTGAGTTTCTTTCTGACTAGAACAAAAAGTGAGCACTTGTATTTTACCTTTAATGCCACCGATGACTGCAAATCTGGAAACTACAGAGCATCCTCCCCTTGAAAGCTCTCTAAATTACCTATCCCAAGCCTCAGAAAAATAAACACCCACACATTTTTGTACTGAAGACTATTATTTGAAAGCAAAGCTTGGAATGTTCACCATGGAACACAGAGTCCTCTATGTTCTTATTATCACAATTTCTGATACTTTTTATAATTAAATATACTAATAAAATAAGCAGATACGGAGCCCTAAAGTAAGGAGGACTTTTTTCTGCTTCAAACAGGACTCCCTTAGCTAAATTTACCTGAGAGGGTACATCTTGCTGACTTCTTAGCATGAGGCACACTCTTCTTTGGTGAATTAAGGCTGTAGGACCAGTGTAATCATTGAGGTCTCATGTGCAGGAATTGCCTCACTTGAGGAAATTACTGTTTTCCGAGCATCACAAACCAAGCTAAAGGATTCATTCTATAAGTGGAGGAAAATCTATGGTTAATTTCTGTACCCAAATCCAGCTCTTCCTTGTGGTCACAGAGATCCCCAAATGGCATCCTCCAAAATGGCAAAGCACTGGAATCCTGCCTGGTATCCCCTTTGAGAACCAACCAAATCCTCATAAGATGGCTCTCATCCTTCCTAGTTCTGTCAAAATTGCTAGAACTGATGTATCTGGGGGGCACGTCACAAGCCCTGCCTCTCCAGAGCATGTTGCTGCATCGTTCACCAATATTCCTTTAGTCCCCCTCCTCTGGGCAGCCTCTTGCCTGTAAGAGTCCTTTGCCATTCTCACGTCCACTCTCAAGGCTTTAAGGCCCAGCTGAAGGAACCAGCGCTGCAGCTGCTGCATGACCAGCTGCCCTCATTCCCAGCTGAGAACCGAGGGCCCAGACATTCATTCAGCAGTTGCTGACCCAAGATGAGTGTGAGATGAAGCCTATCTTGAAGGAGCTTCAAATCCAGTAGGAAAGACTGACAATTAGCAATGGATTAAAATTCAAGGCAGTGGCACTAAAGTCTCAAGAGACAGGCAAACGAGCTGACTGGAGAGCAAAGGGGAAGGAAAAACCGTTCCTAGGCAGCATTTTTACAGGGAGTGTCCATCAAGCATCAGCATTGGAGCTTAGAAGCATGCTGGGAGGGGTAAGTAGAAATGAAAAATGTTCTTCAGGCTGAAGAGCAGAGACCCCAAAGTTTGAAAGTGCATAGGGTCCTTGGAGAAATTTAAGACGAATTTGGTTGAAAGAAGAGGTAGATTCATGGCCATGGTTAGGAGGAGACTGATGGGAAGTGCAGAGTTCTGTCCAGGGAGTCCCCAGCACCAGGGGGTGCTGTCCACATAACTAGACCCCTCAGCTGAAAATCAAGGTTGCATGAGCCACAATTAAAAGTAGAACATTGTATTCCTCCAGTGGGGACAAAAAAGATGGAAACCCCGAGCGGTAGGATCCATAGCCAGGTTTTGAGCAGAGGAGGGATGCCTCACTTGTGTTTGGAAAGACAGCTGCACATTAGGGAGCAGATGGAAGCTGGGCACTAGATCTGTGAGACAGCACCTGCCCATCCAGGTACGGGAGGCGAGAGCAGCTGACATTGGCTGCAGTAGCAACTGGAGAGGGGTGAGTGGATGGCCCAGGAAAGGAAAGTGAAACCAGCAAAGGGTAAGGAGAGGAGGGGAGACTGAAACCAAGTCAGTGCTGAAGTTTGGGGGCTGAAAGCCTAGGAGGAAAGTGGTGCCAGGAACCAGGATCTAGAGAAGAGAGAATAGCTCTGAAAGGCTGAGCTGTAGGAAGCTACTGGGTTCATTTGGGGGCTGCTGATTTGAGGTATAGGCAGAGGTACAAGGGTCTGTCTTAAAACAGCCCTGGAGGATTCAGTTCTTATGGAACTTAGGGAAAACTACAGAAGCCACATAGCTGAATCCCACCGCAGAGCATTTTGCAATGAACCTGAGGCTGTTTTACATAAATTGCCAACATTGCTCAAATAAACTAAGGCCATGTCATCGAATCATTCCATGCAGCTTTTTGTCATCTTTATGAGACATCTTTATGCCTCGGAGAGAAAGGCAAGACAGAATTGAGAGACAAGTGGTTGTGCACCTTGAAAGCTTCTGTCCCAAAAAGACAAATAGGCCATGCATGCAAATAAATACTTCTATTACTATCACAGGAATGAGGACTGAGGTTTTATTGTCCTAGCAGGCATCTTTATTGATAAAGCCAAGTTCATCAGGATTAGACAGATAGCTATAAATTGTTATAGAATGGCAGCATGCATGTTCCCATTGTCACAAAGCTTATGAATGACAGGGATGAAATCAATAGCAAAATCCAAGCATATTTAATGCTTACAGCTACAAAACCCTTACTATTTCTTCTCTTACAGAGGAGCCATCTAGGTACAGAGAGATTAAGTAACTTGTTCAAGGTCACACAGCTAGGAAGTAATGAAACCTTAATTCTTTGAAGGAAGTTGAATGGGGCTGCAGAGATAATACTTCAAGAATCTGAGACCTTAAAGAACAAGTAAGAGTTAACCAACCCAGTGAAGCCAAGGAAGACAACATTCTAGGACAAGGAGATAACATTAAAGGACCTGGGAGCACAGGAATAGAATTTTCTGGGAACAAAAAATAATCTGGCATGATGAAAATAGATAAAGTTAAGGGACACAAGCCTGAACACACATTACCAGAGCTCACCCTGGGGGCATCATGAACCATGCCTTACAGTTTGGAATTTGGGCTGAAGGCAATAGAGAGCCACCAACAGTTAAGAGAGGTCAAAGACTTGAGATGTAGCTTGGTGGTACAGTGTTTGCCTAGCATGTGCAAGGCCTTGGGTTCAATCCCTAGCAGCAGCAGCAGCAGCAGCAGCAGCAGCAGCAGCAGCAGCAGCATCAAAAGAAGAAAAAGAAAAGAGAGCAATAAACAGCTAGAAGATAATTCTAATACCAGGTAGAGAAAAGAGGCAGCTAAGATACCAGATTAAAATAACAATAGTTCTTATTAGAGAAATCTGAATCAGGACTATAGTTCAGGCTTTTCAAACAGCATAAGCCCCTGAGCCGGGCACCACCATTGTGTGAGAAGCACTGCACCAGTCAGTGATTTAATCTCAGGAAAGATTACAAGTCTCTGCTGCAGGAGCCACAGCACGGCTCACCCAGGGGCTGGAAAGACAGCTCTGCGTTAGAGAAGACATGGATGCAGGGGACGAGGCAGAATGTCCTACAAAAGGACACCTTTGAGAAATCTGGTCACTGATCAATAAGAAGGAGAAAGTAGGTCAGGAAACAGATATATTGTGCAGTGGAAGGAGTGTCCCCTCTGAGCTGCAGGCCACGGCCACAGTGTCAGCACAGCAGCAGTGGAGGTATACAAGGTACTGATCACCAGTGACAAAGGGCAGGACCCTGAGCTCTGTGACCCTGATCTCTGTGAGGCTGAGACCACCTTGGAGGCAGAACTCAGGTTTTCCCTGGGGCTTGGGAGAGGAGACACATGGAGAACCATGCCCTCACCTGCCATGTCCTTGGACAGAACACTTGTACAGTTAGGAGTGCATCTCAGTTTTGTGACCGTGGTGTCATCCTGGAGTGGCAGAGGCGGTGCCAGCACACTGAAGCTCGCGGCCCCTGTGCAGAGCCTCAGCAATCTGCACCTTACACTGGTGCCACCTGCTTACCTAATGTGTTTGTCTTAGGGCCAACTCTGTGACATGGAATCCACACAAGATGATGGGAGTCCCTCTGCAGTGCTCCGCCTTCCTGGTTAGAGAAGAGGTAGGTCTTCCCTGATTCTGTGTCCCAGCCCTTGGGTGGGGTTTGGCAGTCTTTGCTGAGAGGACTTTCTCTGGAAACATCAGGATCTTTAGGTCTTCCTTGCCACGTGGCTCACACTCTCCAGAAAGCACCCCTCCAAACTGCTGTCGGGAGGGTGGACAGCAGGTGTCGGGAGGTCCAAAAAGGCTCAGGAGACCCGAACCTTCAGAATAGAAACTTCAGGCTAATCTCCATGCTTTCAGTATAAGCCTCCTTTCCTCAACTACACTTGATGTTCCTGACCCAGAGACTCTTCATGCTACTGTCTTAGAAAATTAAATTTCCAATTTTCTTCTGGAACATGAGAAGAAACAATTTTTTTACCTTAAGAAAATAATTAAAATTATAGTTTTTACCATAAGGAAAAATATGCATGATATAGGATTAAAGTTAGTGTGAGAATTCAGGTGTGTGTGTGTGTGTGTGTGTGTGTGTGTGTTATCTAATAATTCTATTTTATTTGATTTAATATTTAATGCCACAATCAGAATGTAAGGCATCTGCATATATATTAATCAGCATAAGCAAAGGCCATTTTTATTAAAGATTCTTCTGTGAATAAAGTCTAAGGTCACTGTGTAGATGATCACTGTCCTCTGTGTCTCCCTCCTATGAGGGAGAGAGGAGGGAGAAGCCACATCTCACTCCTCTGCTAATTTTGTTGATAAGACCCACCAAATAAGGAGTTTCAGTTTATCCCTATTAAATTTTATCTTGTTAGAATCAATAAGGCAAACTCACATTGAAGGGACTTTTAAGTATTTATCTTTACTTGCTTTAAAATATTTTGTTTTTCTATTATGAACTCAATGTATAATTATTTAAGAAAATTTGGGCAGGACTGAAAATATAGATAAATTTAGAGTTGGCCAAAATTCTGTCATTTGGAGATAAAAGTTATTTACTGTCTTAAAACATTTTCTCCTACAATCTTCTAGGAATATCTGTATCATATTTGTTTATGTATGTATTTATAACAAATACATATCTTAAATAACATTGCTATCATCTACATCATATATTTTTCATTTTTATACTTAATATCATATTATAAATATGATATTCCATAATGTGATTTTTCATGGCCTCAAAATATCATATTTCATGAGACATAATGGTTTTGTAAAATCCTTAAACATGTATCTTTGATCACATTCCTGATTATTTTCTTAAAGTAGATTCCTCAGAGTGGAATTGTAGGTCAAAACATATTATTTCTATGGTTCTTAATACCTCCTCTTGGTAACTACAAATTTCAGCAATGTGCCTTCTGTCTGCATCAAATAAATTAAATTTTTGACACAGGATTGAAGACAGACTGCCCTTCCAAAACAAGCTGAATGCATTGAAAAAAACTTTTCAAACTGGTTTTTCATCAAGTAAACATCCAGTTTGATATATTCTCATCAATTCTAGCTCATGCATATTCCAGCTGTATTACCTGAAGGGAAAAATAAGTTTTTGTTACTTAGATTTCAGTCAGATGTTTGACAGTGGCTCTCATAGATCTATCACCATAGATCCAAAGTGCAATGTCAGCCAACTGAAAACAGGCAGATTTGGAAGTGATTAGATGACTGCATGGGAAAGACCTGCTGATGGGTAATTTAATATTTGTTCTCCAGGAGAGACTCGTGGCTTGGCATCTAACCCTCTTCCATTCAAAATATTCATTGATGGTTTGAGTAAAACACAGAAGCTTATTTTAGTTTCAGATGAGAAGAAACTGGAAAAGAGAGGAGATATGTATAGTGACAGAATCAGAATACAAGATGAATTTTACAGACTGGTCCTGCAAGCCACACTTAAGAAAGGGAAGTTGTTCATGGGAATCATTGCAAAGCTCTGCCCTTAGGTCCAAGGAGGGAGTGGTTATTTTGACTGGACATAGCAGGCTTGTCTCACACATAGCTAAATTGTTGGACTTGTGAAATAAAAAATGTAGGACTTCAGGTTGTACTCTGCAGGGTCAACCAGAAATAATAATTTCAAAAAATTATCCAAATAACTATATCTTTTTTGTGTGTGTGATGCTGGGGATTGAACCCAAGGCCTTGTGTATACAAGGCAAGCACTCTACCAACTGAGCTCCATCCCCAGCCTTCAAATGACTGTGAATGAGATAAAAGAAGTCAACTTTCAGCAGGAGAGATGTGGTAGAGTCCCATGCCCTCTGGTTAAACCATGGCTTGCAGTGCTTTGCTTAGCTCTGTGCCCAATCTTATATGGGACCTCATCAAGCGAGAATTCCAACATAGAGAAACCATTGATGAACATGCAAAGGGGAATGGCTTAAAGATTAAACCTAGGGAGAAGAAAAAGAAAACAAACGTAAAGGGCTGAGAAGGGGAGAGGCACTTTCACAGTTCAAAGGACTCTCAAGTGAAAGAAATTCATTTTGCTTTGTTTTCCAAGGATTTGTGAAGGGGGTGGGTTAGTAACACTGGGTGGCACAAATTTGGTGGCAAAAATCAGAATACACAGTGCATTTGAAGTTTGACTTGGGGTTGATAAAAGCAATACTTTTTTTAAAGTAAGCTTTTAAATTTTTTTTGTTTATAGTTGTAGATGGACAGAATGCCTTTATTTTATTTGTTTATTTTTATGTGGTGCTGAGGATCAAACCCAGTGCCTCATGCATGGTAGGCAAGCCCTCAACCACTGAGCTGCAGCCCCAGCCCCCAAAAGTAAGCTTTTCAATAGTAGGAATAAACTAATTATCAGGAGAGATGAATGAATACGGATTGGACAATCACATGTGAGTAACAGAGTAGGTAGGATTTCTTAACTGGATAGAAATAGATTAAATGAGCTCTAAACTCCCTTCCAAATCCAGGAGTTCCTAATGCTCTCATAAACAGCTTATTTTTTTTTCCCTTGGGTCCAAGAAATAATAGCATCTTATAAGATGGCAATAATTTTTCTGTGGTTATAGAGATCTCTGCTTTAAAAAGATGGAGGTATTTTGAATTAGAGTTTAAAACAAGTTTTAATATTTCTGGAGTTATGGAAGCCTTTCACACAGTGTCTGGAAAAGAGGGATTTATGATGCAGAGTTTCCTAAATTTATTTGAGTTTGAGAACTCCATTTTGTATAGCAACTGTACAAAATGATGGTTGATAGCTTTTTCGTGGCCCAGAACCAGGTAGTTTGCTCACCAGAGACTTATGCATGGATATTGCCATCACCTTTCTTTGTTCTTTTGCATAGAGTGAGACAGGTGTGGCCCAGCATTTAGAGTTAAGCACTTTGAGTCCTTTTTTTCTTGGATGGATCTTGGTCTGCTCCATCTGTCTTGGGAGGAGCTGGTCTGATCCATCCACCCTTCCACACTCTCTGAGATGGTCCCCCTTAGTTTCAATGGCATCTATCTGTGAGTTTACGTGGCCAGAGAAAGAACCATACAAAGTTTCTGTGAATGAATGAAGATGGAAGCACATATTGTAATTTTCATGTCTTATTTGTCTCCAAGTGAATTTTCTTTTGTGAATTCAATGTCTTTCTACTGATCCAATACAAATACGTCATATTTAATTTTCCTTATTCACAAAGTTGGTGGATTCCATAAATAGGAAGTACCAGGTAAAGTCCAGTTCTCTTTTCTACCACTGGGGCACTCTGTCTTTCAAAACCTGGTTGAACTTTTGGTTGCATTTCACAGTGTCTTAGTTAGGATATTTTTAAAAATGAGTTCCCATTTCTAACTTCAACTCAGTGATCACAATGTAGTCTTTTCTTCCCTTGTCATGAGTCACACGAGAAGCAAAATCCAAATGCCAAAGCTTTTATAAAATCACAATTACACGGTAGAAAACAAGAGTCACAGGCTTCCAGTAGTTCGTGACAAATTGAAACGTGGTGGGGTTTCCAGGGAGGAGACTGGCAATGCTATTTTAGTCAGAAAGCATGATTCATGCACTGTTCTTGGGAATGTTTGATCACTTTGTCACTCATTTCTGTGACAGAGCCACAGTGCCCGGGCAAATTCATGGTCACGGACAATGAAATTTTCTTTGCAACTTCCACAAGCAAAGAACCCTGACCACTGAGATGGAACATGACATGGGAAAGATTGGTTACTTAAATTCATCTCAGAATTGCAATATCTTTGCTTTTTGAGATTTTAGCACATACAATAACAGCAATGAAACCTTATGGTTTTCAAAGACAACTTGAGCTACATGATAAAATCCTTCAACTAGATATAGATGGAAATGCTATAAAAACCACACTAACAGTATTTTACAGAATCGGATAATTTACAAAAATATCCTAATTAATTATTCAGAACATCAGAATGTTTTCCCAAAGAATGAGCATTGTACTGACTGTCCTTCCTTCCTTCCTTCCTTCCTTCCTTCCTTCCTTCCTTCCTTCCTTCCTTCCTTCCTTCCTTTCTTTCTATAAAAATGCCTTCTCTGAAAAGGAAGAGTAGAAATATAAGTATATACTTGCTAATTTTGGTAACGTTCAACCCTGAGCAATTTATCCCAGAGTTAACCTATGACAGTAGCCTGCCTGGACAATCCTATTCAGAAGTTAGCCCCATCTTTTCTTAATCTCTCTCTTTCTTATTATTACTGTTTTCTTTTCACAAGACATACAACATCCCTTTTGTTTACTTTTCTCTTAATAATTCCTACCACAGTGTAAAGCTAATGGATAATCAGTAGCGTTTCCTAAACCTCCTCTTTTTTTCTTTTAGGGATTGATGCAGAGTTGCAACCAGATGCATGCCTCCTACCTCTTCCAGCAAGATAAACACTACGACCTGTCCTATGACACTGGAGACAAGGCCTTGCAGTGTGGACGCCATGTTGATGTTTTTAAATTATGGCTAATGTGGAGAGCAAAGGTGAGTGGGTACAGACCAGCTGAATGTCAACCAGAGGTTGGGGGGGGACTTTATCTGTGCTAAGGAACTGATTATCAAACTGAAAATCACTCACTCAAGATTGAGTTTCTTTAATCCTATATCTACAACATTCTACATAGGCAAGAGTATAATCAAACCCATTGCTTGTTTCCTTTTCGGCCCAATTATTTTAATGCCCACACTCATCTAGAAAACAAATCAATTTTGATACACATGGCAGAACATCTTGATTTTTGAGAGACGTTTCTTCTTATTGTCATCATCATTTTTCTTGGATTTATTTTATCACCTACTCTTGGTTTGTACCCACTGGTGGATCATCAGAATGCATTCTGAAAGTATATGTTTGGAAAATAAAAAAGGGTTGTTCCACCAGGATAACTTGTTTTTGACATTTCAAAGCATAACCTCTAATAACAGGGCTCTTTTTAAAGCTCCAGAAGTACCTAACTACCTCCTCTGTATGGGTTCTGTTTAGCTCAGAGTTCACCTGTAAGTGGTCTCTCCTCTCCCTGTAGGATAAACTCTGTAACTAATGGTGTGCAGAACTGGCTGGACCTCACTATTGCCTTCCAAGAGAATAGATTTGTAGTAAACGAAAGCAGGCTGAAAAGGGCAAAGATTTCACTTTTAATTTTGACCAGATTCTCACCTTACAGGTCACAAATCAGTGATTTCCACCAGATTTCATTTATCTCCAGGCAATGGCCATAGCCGTCTATATAGTATAAACATTCAACTTTAAAAAGACTATTCCAGGAAAATCTGATGAAGGAAATGAGAAAGGGGAAAATGAAAGGAAGCTGGTATGCTCTGAGGTCCTGCATGCTTGCCAAAAAGACCACGTATCTGGCTCTAAGCTTTGTCAATAGCCAGCACACAGAGGTAACAGATTTAGTCTCTTAGGAACCAGCAAACAATTTGGTCAGCAGGAGTGAGGTAAACAAACATAAAACCAGGGCCTGGCTCCTTGTGCAAAGTTTATGGGGATAGGAGCCATGTAGTTTGTGGAAATTTTCCTAGTAAACATAGATGCTTTAAAGCAGTTCAGAGAGGAGTGGGATGGCTGACAAGAAAAGGAGGGGACTTGGAAGAGAAACAATGCAAAACACAAGTATTTAACAGAATCTTCTTTAAATCTCTTCTGGACAAAAGAGGCAGTTTAAGTAGAAAGTTAGTTTTGTTTTTTTTTTTTTTGTACCGGGGATTGAACCCAAGGGCACTTAACCTCTGAGCCACATCCTCAGCCCTTTTTACACTTAATTTTATTTAGAGACAGGGTCTTGCTGAGTGCCATGGTGCTTACCTGTAATCCCAGTGACTTAGGAGGCTGAGGCAGGAGGATTGCAAGTTCAAAGCCAGCCTCAGTAAAAGCAAGGCACTATACAACTCAGAGACACCCTGTCTCTAAATAAAATACAAAACAGGCTGGGGATGTGGCTCAGTGGTCAAGTGCCCATGAATTCAATCCCTGGTATCCAAAAAAAATTAAAAATTAAAAAAAAGCCAGGGTCTCGCTGAGTTGCTTAGGGCCTAAGATGCTGAGGCTGGCTTTGAACTCAAGTCAAGCCGCTGGGATTACAGGTGTGCACTACCGCACCCGGCACAGTCTTTCTTAATACAGAAATAACTCGTAGATACCAGATATAACTAGACTACATACCCTTCAGGCAAATTTCTATTATAGTATTTACCACAGACAGATTTCCCCAAGTATTCCTAAATATCGGGCAGTCATATATAGTCACTTTTCCGTGATGCCTGATACAGGTAATGTAATAGGTTCCAGTCCCTTGCACTGGGCAGGGACTTCTTTCCCCTTTTGAAAGTTGAGAACCTGATGAGGATGTGTAACTAGTCTCTTCTACCCAACGTGAGGCTCATTCTGTTGTACACAATGCTTTCCTCTGGGGAAAAAAATCAAGAGTATAGATTGTCGGTGTATTCTCAATCGGCTTCAAAATGAGCAGGTTTTTATTTCAGTGAAAGAACAGCAGAATGATGACTGTACATATCAGGGAGCAAGCTGAGGAAAACTTGGTCTCTAAGCAGTGAGCAAGATCCTTCTTATTTTGAGCATCATCCTTTTTCTCTGTTTTTCCTGTGGTGTTTGTATTAAGATGATCATTAGCTATATTTACACAAAATTGTTCTTCTCACGGTTCATCAGTTCCTGCTGCTCCTTTTCCATCTGAAGCCTCCTCTCCAGCATGGGGCAGCTGGTTGTTTCTCAGAGAAATAACTTGGAGGACATCAGATGTGTGTCAAACAGTAGGAGGAGGTGAGGCCTGAAATGAAGGCAGGGGAGTCAGTTTTTAAAGTGCAGAAATGAAGGCCCCCCAGAGATGGGGCAAAAAAGGAAAAATCACAGAAGCTGCTTTTCGTATGAGTACAGATGCTTTTAATTGCTTATGCAGAACTTCAAATATCTAGACATCTAAATGGCAAAAATTTTCATTTTATTTTCAACCTAAAAAATGCATTTTTTTTTTTTTTTTTTTTTTTTTTTTTGCAAAATGAGGTGATAAAAAATTATGAAAGTAATAGGCTCAATCCTACACCCTAAACCAGAAGTCAGGATAATTATCCCATCAAAAGCTCCCTACTCATGCCATCCTTGGAAGGAGCAGTCTTCTCCCTGGAAGAAAACCCATGGAAGAGTTGGCTCTGAGGGTCTAGTTTGTATTCCCACAGGAATGAGGAAATGATCTGGAAAAGAATACAGAGAAGGAGAAAGAGTAGAGTATTAATTCAGTATTAAGTCCTCTGTTATTAGATGTGCCTGAAGACTATGATGCTCAAATTAATCTGCATCTTCTCTTTAATGAGATAAACTGCATGAAAAATAGTAACCTAAGTTAAAAAAAAAAACTACTCTTCTTCAAACTAATCTGTTCATGATCAAGAAAGCTAAGTGCACTGATGACAGCCCTCAAATTAAGTCCAAGATAAGTTCATTAGTAAATTTATGCAAAAAAAAAAAAATGAGCCTCCTGATGTGGAATGTCAAGGAAGTGTTCACCATGATAAAAATCCACGTAAACCTCTTCTGTTGAGTAGGGTTTTTATTTCATCTGCATTTTATTACAGAATCCTAGGCCTTATGATTATTTTCCTCAGTGGTTAACACTTGGTGGCAGGCATAAATAAATACATACATAAATAAATAAACCTACCGAAAAATTTACCCCCCCCATTTTTCTTATGTATGCAAGGATGACTTAATATGTAACTGCAGAGGGCAGTTTGTATGTGATTATGCAAATTGGCAGGTTTCCTTACGGTTTCTCATGATCACTCTCTAATTGAAAATGTGGATAACAAAGGGACTGGCAAATGGCTGAGGGAAAATTATTTAAAGGGAGATTATTGTCTGGCATTCTTTGCCAAGTAACTGAAATTTCACTTTATCTCTAATAAAATGTTAATTAATTTTAATAAGTAGCTATTGAGTATCTGTTTTCATGCCTGGGGCTGTACGAGATGAGATAAGGAGGTTATTATTTTCCAGGCAGGATCAGATTAGTGCAGAGATATCTTCATATAAAACACAATACAACTGGTCATAAAAGAAACACAAATAAAGGACTTAAAGAATGGAGAGCTCCTTCCTAGTTTGAGAACAAAGAAAGCTATATCAAGAGATAACCTCTGAGTTGGGATTTGAACAGAATAGATAGAATAAATAGAATTTCAAGCAAAAGAGCTGAGAGAATACTCCAAGAAGGGCAAATATGGACTTCAAGTGCATATTCTGAGAGTAGTAGAGAGTCCAAATTGACTGAAGGGTGGTTAGGGAGCTAGGACAAAAAGCAATGGGGCCTGAACTAGGGTGGCAGCTGCAAAATGGAAATGGCAGCAAGAGATTCTGTAGCTATTTCAAAAGTGTCATTTAATGACATATGCATGTCTTTAGGAGAAATCGGACCTTGGTACTTAGGCCACTCTTTCTGTAAGTTCCTACAGAGTCAGAGTTCATTCCAAGTGGACCCAAGCTGTCAGGCTAAGCTAAACCAATCTAATTTCATTAGTACCCACAGGCCTATGGAGCTCACGGTACAGGTGCTGACCTGAGTATATGGGTATCAGTCTAAGCCCTTCTTAGAGGTCATCAGAACAGACAGATATCTTTAGCCAATCAGCTTGGGAGAGCAATCTTCAAAGATTACTGAAACCATTAGATTCCTTCAGTGAAGTTTGTTCTTAAATATGCTTTGGATTTTGCATCCCAGGGCTATGCTGGGTCCCCATTTTAGGAGACCACATGTGAACAGGAAAGTCAGTCCATCTTATCTCCATTACAATTACTCCCTGGAGTTCCATGTTGGCTTAATTCCTGATAGGCCAGTTCTAAATGCTCCCAGGATGAGCACTAGCTGGTTTTCTAAGCTTTCTGTTAGCATTTAGGAAATGCTGAAGGAGATCAGAGGAGAAGCATTTTGAAAAGTAATTCCCTCGTGTGTCCTGACATCAAACCACCTCTATCCTAGGCGCTCATGTTGTCTTACATAAGTCCAGATCCAAGGCTTCCAGAGCTGAAAACGAAAAGACCTCTGTATCAATCACTATTCACTCACCGCAGACATGCAAGTCATTTATCCACCAACAAAGGAGCTCTCTAAGGAGCTTGGCAGAATGACAGGCTCACAAAGCATCTGCATGCACCCTAAGATTCATTCATTCATTTGTTCAACTTACATTCAGTGAGTGCCTACCCCATTTGTTCTATAATGAGGGTACATTAGTGATCAAATATGGGGTCTGGGAATAGAAAATTTACATGGTGGTGGTGGGGCCTCAGCAGGCATCCTGGTGGCGGGTGGCGTGGGGGTGGGGGTCTGATGATGCTTCTTATCTGCAGGAAGGAACCAGCCCAGCCCTTCTGTTATTAATGGCTTCCATGATTACTTCTATGAACTGCAAGGCAAATTTTCCCCTCGAGTAATCAAAATAATTGCCTGGGGAATGGAGGCTTAGGAAGAAAAGGAGTCAGCTGTGGAGAACACTAATGAAAGGGAACAAAAACACCTGATGGGGACCGCATTAAAAGGGAAATAATTGAAAAAAAAAAAAAGCCTCTAGAAATAGTTTTGTGTAAAGAAAGTTACCAGAACAGCCCTGAGAATCACCATCAGTTTCCAGAGGGCTCACTTCTGTCCCACATCTCTGCTTAAAAGCTGTACTGACATCCTCAGCCTGCCTAATGGGCTTTGTTCTTGTCATCCTTAGGGGACTACTGGATTTGAAGCACACATTGATAAGTGTTTGGAGCTGGCAGAGTATTTATACAATATCATAAAAAACCGAGAAGGATATGAAATGGTGTTTGATGGAAAGGTATGTATTCAGAGTTCCACAATCCCCCAAAGTTTGGTGGATTCCAATCCTTATCACTAATATTTTCTGATATACATAACGTGCTGTCCAGCTAAGTGGGATCATTACAAAGGGGAAGTAGGGGATGACAGAGTAGCTCTTCTGGGCTGGTATAAAGATCAGACTCACAAATAACCTGATGTAATGTGAAAGTGAGGCACTCCAAAGACCACTACTGATTTAAAAGTAGGAATTGTACTCTGAAGCTGACAGGTAAGCAGATTTGAAATGCCTGTGGAAACTTTTTTTTTTTTGAGAGAGAGAAAGAGAGGACTTTTTAATATTTTTTAGTTTTTGGCGGACACAACATCTTTATTTTATTTTTATGTGGTGCTGAGGATCGAACCCAGAGCCCCGTGCTTGCCAGGCGAGCGCACTACTGCTTGAGCCACATCCCCAGCCCGCCTGTGGAATTTTCAAAATGGCCAGTTTGGGCCACGTATGAATTTTACTCTCCTCTTTGTAGCCTCAGCACACAAATGTCTGCTTCTGGTATATACCTCCCAGTTTGCGCACTCTGGAAGACAATGAAGAGAGAATGAGTCGCCTCTCAAAGGTAAGTGCTGAGTTGCTTTGATATGTATGCATATTGGCCCTGTCATATGCCCTTATGACATATGTGTGTCTTTATGAGAAATCCAACCTTAGTGCAAGGATCTCCCCCCATTCTGTGGCTCCCAGAGAGCCAATATATCTAGACTGTTCACAAATCTGTTTCTTGTTTTTTAAGAGAGTTTCAGATGTCCTAAAATAAGCGATTGGGTGATAATATTTACTGGCATTCAGAAAGCAGCAAGAACCTTTGTTGATGTTCATTGATTTTTCCAAGCAAAACTGGTACTCAGTTATGAGCACAAAAGAGACTTCAGGTGCCAGAATCTTTAAAAATCAGAGCTGCTGCTGACCCTCTGGAGATGCCAAGGTTAAGCCTGTCCCAGAAAATAATAATAATCAGAAATAAAATAACAGCCACTATTTAGTGTATGTATTAGTCCCAGGCAAACCTGATTTGGGCATTAAGTCACTTAAAGTCTCATAGCAGACTGGTGTGGGTTGATATGGGGAAGTACTGCTGTCACCCATTTTACTGATGGAGAAACTGAAGAACAGAGAGAAAAAGCAAGTTTCCCAAAATCATAAAGACAGTCTGACTCTAGAGCCTGAAGCTTGAACTTCAGATTCTACTCTGGTCAGTAAGCTGCCTTTTATCTTTAATTATTTTTCGAACCTTTCCCCAGCATTTACACACTGGTCAAATATGGTTTACGATGCTCATCTGGGGAGACGAATGCAGGACCCATCTCCCGTGGCTCTGTAAAAATAGGAACTAGGGATGAGCATATGTATTTGCATCTCCGAGCATCTGTTAGTTTTGGGGTTTCTTCATTTACCATAGAAGAAGGAACCCCTCCAGTCACTTCCAGGAGCTAGACAGGCCTGCTCCCCCACTTCTAAGGAGCTGCACCAACTCATTGACCTTTCAGAACACTTTGTTTAGAAATGTAAAGAAAGATGTAAAGAATGGAATTTTTTATAATCGTAAAGGCCTCTGAAAAGCTTAAAACATCTGTCCTTAAGGGACCCAGAATCAAACTCCTTATGGGGAAGAAATTTACATGCTGCTGAGGTCTTCAGCCTTTAGAGTAGTGGTTTCTAACCCCAGTGTTAGAATCATCCAGAAGCTTTACATCCAGGATGACCAAATCTTACCCTGGGAATTTAACCCAGTTACTCTTGGATGGTGCTGGGAGTGGTTCTAGAAGTTCTTCAGTTGATTCCGTGTGCAGCCAGGCTGAGAATCACTAACCCAAGGAACATGGAAGTAAGCACATAGAGCCTGGATCCCTGGGACATGTATCTAGGTGGCAGAGGCTGCAGTTGTATTGAATTGATTCATCCCAAGAAATCAAGCCCAAGAGGCGGGAGGGAGGGATAGAGAGGTCACATTAGACTAGACAATAGCCACAGGTTAAAACTCACAAACAAAAGCAACTGGGTTTGACAGTCATGTGAGAGAAAAGCCTAGAGTTTTATGGTGTTGCTTCTCCATATTATAAAGTATCTTAATAATGACTAATTTTCTTTAACAAGCTCGTTAGTTAGAAGTTAATTAAAAATTTAGACTTTTCTGTTCTTGTTGCCCTTTGTTTCTTTAATAAACCCACTAACCACATAGAGAGTCCACAGAGGGTTTCAGCTGATATCATTTGTTCATTCAGTTCATTAGCACTGGGCTGAGGGAGGGGCAAGATAGGAATACAGACCCCAAAGTTCTTTTTCTTCATTTTCTGAGAAAAAGTCCAATTAGTGAGGCTTCTGCCTTTAAATACAACCCTTCAAATGACTCTCGGACTTGAGCTTATCATGTAATCTGTGATAGGAATGGAAATTACTTCCTGAAGACGGTGATTACAATCTGTATTAGTAGACTGTGTTTATACTATTAATCATTCAAATCTGAAAGTCTCTGAGGATGGCAAAATGAATTCTGATTTTTCTCTCAGCTGTGACTCAATTTTCATGACTATAATACAGAGAATTCCAATTTGGAAATGAAAATAGAATCACATGACATATGGAGGTTAGCTTTTGTCCATCTTTTTGGATAATGTTTCTGAGTTTCAGAAAACTTCCTTAATAAGTATAAAACCCTTAAATTATAATGTATAGGAACCAGTCAAATCTCACACACTTAGGAGAGAGCTGAGGTGAAATAATCCATAATGTCTAGTATAATAGTAATACCCACATGTGCATCTATTTACATTTAAATTTAAATTAGTTAAAATTAAATTCAACCAGAAGTTTGGCTCTTCAGACATACTGGCCACAAGTGCCCAACTGTGGCTTGTGGCTGTCATAGATAGAGCAGACAAGAAACATTCTCTTATTTCTTCTAGAGCTGTCATAGATCCCAAATGGGAGGAAACATGGAGTCTTCTGTATAGCATGTGGGAAACAAGAGAACAAAGTTCAATTCCAGGCAACACAAGGCCAAGTACAGAAAGTACTCTTTGTGTCTAAATGCCTGATATGAGGCTTCAGCATGAAAAACACTAAAAGTCATTTGCTGAGTAAAGCCCCATTGTAGGTAGGCTTTTTGGATTACGATAGACTGGGTGGTGTATAAACAACAGAAATTTACTTCTCACAGTTCTGGAAGCTGGGAAGTCCCAGATCAAGATGCTGGTGGATTCTGTACGAGCTGAAGGCCCACTTTCTGGTTCATAGACATCCCTTTTCTGATTTGTGTCCTCACATGGCAGAAAGTGGGCAGAGGAGCTCTCTGGGGTCACATTTATAAGGTATTTCCCATTCATGAAGGCAGAGGCTTCCAAAGACCCCACCTCCTAATCCCATCACTTTGGAGGTTAAGATTTCAACATATGAATTTGAGGGGACACGTTCAGACTATAGCAAGCACCTTTTGCACATTCCATAATAAAGAAGGGGAACAGCATTTAGGAAACCTAATAGTGGATCATAGGCCTTTTCCCAGAATGCACAGACTTGGGGACAGATAGCTAGATGACAAGTAGTTCTTACTATCACAGATTGTCACATCCTCATGAGGAGGTAAAGATGAGCATAGTTAGGGTGTTTCCTGCTGCCCAGGAGGGTACAAGTGGCGTATACCCAAGCAGAGTAGATCAAGAATGCTTGGGGCCCTACAGGACGAGTTCCCAAACACACACCTTAGACACAGGGAAGGAGCATCAAGTAGACTCCAGGCAAATGTTTATTTAAAAAGAATGAAAAATCTGGTCTATTTTTTTAAAATATCTTTATTTATTTATTTTTCATGTGGTGCTGAGGATCAAACCCAGTGCATGCAAGGCAAGTGTTCAACCACTGAGCTACAACCCAAAAGTTGGTCTATTTTTAATTTTCCTTTTAATTTTCCATCCCATGAGATACCAGGGATGGAACTCAGGGCCTCAAGTAGGCTAAGGAAGTCTTTACCACTGAACTACACTTTCAAATTCTGGTTCTTCTATTCTTTGTTTTGTTTTGTTGTTGATACTAGGGATTGAATCCAGTACTTTGCAATGCTAGGCAAATGTTTTACCACTAAGTCATACTCCCAAGCGCCCCCCCACCCCCCCCCCTTTTTTTTTAACTGTGAATTGAACCCAGGACCCCTTTTTCACTGAACTTTTCCCCCAATTTTTTTTTTTTTTTTTTAATTTTGATACAGGGTCTCTCTAAATTGCTTAGGGCCTCGCAGAACTGCCGAGGCTGGTCTTGATTTGCAATATCCTGTCTAAGCCTCCAGAGTCTCTGGGATTACAGGCATGTGCCACTAGGCCCAGCCCCTTATTATTTTAATTGTAATTTTTCTTGATCCTTATGTGCACCTCTTCTTTCAGCTTTTATAGTTCTAAACTAATTGTCAGCTTTTAAAAACCAACTATGGATCTAATAATAAATTGTTAAGGATGTAATCTGGCCTCATATTTAAGATAACTCAATGTAAGTGTAATGGGAGATCTAATTGATGAGATTTTAACATTTCAGAACATAACTATTTTGCTTTCTCATTTTTCAAAAATTTCTTAGGTTTCTAAGATTTAAAAACCAAAGGGCCTTCTAACACATAGTGAAAAATATATTTGATAGCTTGAAATAGCTTCTGTTTCATAGTGAAGATGCCCCCTCTTAGGAAAAGACATTCTCTGCCTACTGTTTGCTAAAGGATTGAAAAAGTTAATGGCACAATGGAGAGAAAAGCACCCTATATCTCTTTTTAAAGCCCCCCAAATCTTATAGATTAGGTCTTTAGTGAATTCTTCAAACTATAGCCCCTTGTCTTTCCCAATTCACTTTCTTTTTTCAGAAAATAAAGAATCTGACTTTCAAAATGAGATATAAAAGAAAAATCTCTATCAGAACCACAGGACTCTTATTTTCCTTTTTAACTTGCAATTAGTAAATATGCAATGAGGTAGATATTCCATGTTCCAGCTAATTTGAGTTCATCAGTATTTTCTGGAAACAACCAAAATGAGTTCATCAGTATTTTCTGTAAACAACCAAAAAAAAAAGTTATGGTTTTTTTTTTAAAAACATAAAAAGTTATGTTTTCAAATAGCTGTGATTCCTGCCAACTCAGCTTGCTTCAGGAATTGAGGGGATTCAATTTCACTTTATGTCAAAATCTGTTGCATTATTCTTTTGACCTTTGATTTACATTCATCTGAGAGGTTAAAGATTATTGTCCTTAGTAACCACTGCTATTCTTATGTGTTTTTGCTTGGGTTGCCCATGAAAATGAATTGAGAGTTCAAGTTGCTTTAGTCAAGCATTATCATTGTTTTACCAATACTAAAGATCAAGTATAACTTGTACAAATAAAACTGAGAGATGGTTATGTGACCTTTTTCCCTTGAATTTCTGTAGCCATGTGGATTTAGAATTCCTTTTCTAATTTAAGATTTTTCTTCCCAGGAACACAGTGACTTGTGATGCCCCCAGCACAAAGTGACAAATTTCATGTCCTTATGCTAGAATATTCTAGTAGATCTACTTTCAGAACTTAATTCCAGACTTAAGATATTTAAATTTTTTAAAAAATATTTATTCCTTGGGATGAGCCCAGTGCTCTGTGTACATCCTTAACCCTTTAGGTGAAAGGATTCATCCAACAGAAGATTTCTTCTTTATATCATCTCCATGGAACAAGGAAGAGGCAGGAAGGGATGTAAGAACTCTTTAATCTAGAGTCAGAAAATATTAGTGCTGGAATCATTATCCACATTTATTTTTAGATGAGGAAACTGTTTTCAGAATGTGGTGTGAAGATGAGAGTGAATTCTGCCTGTCTCCCTTGTCTTTCTTTGGTAACCAATGCATAGTTGAACCTCATGGAAACCTTGTTGGCTTTGTTCATTGAGTACATTGAAGATGAAAAGCATTGTTGTGAAGCGATGATTACTTATAAGTTGACTCTCAAGGGCATTCCATTTGAATCTAACTTTTGTTGAAAGTGAAGCCCAGTGTGATATAAGATATGGTTACCATTTTCAGCTGAGTTTCTAATCATGTATATCTCAAATAAGACTAAGCCTTCTTTGACTTCTACTATTCCTGGTTATATATTTGCAGCAATGAACTTAAAAGATCAGACATTATATTTACAAATTCCAACAGTAAATATATGTGGACATATCATACATCCAATTGGAATCACCTTAAATGTATGTGTCTTCCTAGATAGCTGTTGCTATTATTGCTACTCTTTATAGTCAATTAAAACTGAGAAAGCCCTCAACATGTACCCAGCATTGTACTAAAAAGCAAAAGATACTGCACCTGCCCTCCAGGAGTTTACAGATGAGGTAGAGAGGGAAAATGTATTTGCTCATCAGTAGCAGGTCAATAGAAAATTAGCATGTAGTTGGAATCTCTGGGTAGGAATCATGTAATTACAACCTAGAAGAAAGATACTAATGGACTAGAGAAGATAGGAAAGGCTTTATAGCTGTTGTAGGATCATGGCAGAGTCCTGCAGCCTATGCAGGATGTGACCTGAAAGAGAAAGGGATTCTAAGCAAAGTGAATAAGCGTGATATAGTTAGATGGATGACAGTATGGAAAGACGAAAATATGGGTGGTACATCCAAGGGATATTTGTAAAAATTAGTCTTGTCAGACTTGAAGATTCATTTTGGTGAGCAGAGGAAGATGATCATCCCTCAGAGCTGGATGACAAAGGTCTTTGTGCCAAGCTAAAGAGCATAATTTCATTTTATAACCCACAGAGAACTAAGGCTGTTAGGAGCAGCCTGGCAGAAATCCTGTAAAATCTTGGCCTGGGATATGCTCCTGTCTTAAAGTCCTTACGGGTTCAGTTTTCTACCCCAGCCAGTTCTTCATGCTATTAATGGCTACCTTTCAAAGTATCTTACAAATGGAGGCAATGCCAAAAGAAAGTAAAAAGAAACTAGAAAAGTTTAAGGTCTCAAGAGAGTTGCCAAGTCTGTTATTTTCATACATCACTAGATACTGAGGCTTACCTCTTGGTAACAGTTCTCTGAATTATGTTTTATTTCCAATGATTTTATATTTTCTGGCTGGGGAGTGGCTCAGGGAACCTCCTCTACATTGCTGAACCACTCAACCTTGGGATCCAAACTAGATCCTTCTCATTCTCCCAACACACTAACTAGAAAGTCAAGACTAAGGTAGCAAGTGCCTGAGAACCTACTATTATTATTCCTATCGGCTTCAGGATCTTGAGTGGATTAAACTGTTCAGGTGCTCTGATCCCATGAAAACTTGGAGGCAATTCCTTCAAGAGAGAACGAATATGTTCTGTTGAGTTAAAGAATAAAAATGCTTCTTGCTAGTGGGTTCCTTGGCAAAAGGATTGTCCCCAGAGGAAAGAACCACCATCCTGATATGGTCTCTCCCACAGGTGGCTCCAGTGATCAAAGCCAGAATGATGGAGTATGGGACCACTATGGTCAGCTACCAACCCTTGGGAGACAAAGTCAATTTCTTCCGCATGGTCATCTCAAATCCTGCAGCAACTCACCAAGACATTGACTTCCTGATTGAAGAAATAGAACGCCTTGGGCAAGATTTATAATAACTTAACTCACTAAGCTGTTTCAATTCTCTAAGTAGACAATTAAGTTGTCACAAACGGTGTAAATGTATTTGTAGTTTGTTCCAAAGTAAATCTATTTCTATATTGTGGTGTCAGAGTAGAGTACAGTTTAAAAATTGCTCCTTTTAAAAACCCTTTCTTAAGTTCAGTATACCTCTCTAATAATTAGTGACAAACGGCTGTGTTCTAATCAATAAGGAAAAGCTTAAAATTGTTATAAATACTTCCCTTACTTTTAATATAGTGTGCAAATCAAACTTTATTTTCATGTCAGAGTAGTAGGATTGAATAGTGCCAAATTGCCCCTGAATCCTAAAAGGTTCTTTGGGGGTGCAGTAAAAAGGATAAAGTAAATATAAACTGTATGTTGACAATAAAAACTCTTGCCTTTTCATAGTATTAGAAAAAAAATTTCTAATTTACCTATAGCAACATTTCAAATGTATTTAAATACATATAATTTTACAAAGGAAAATATATATATTAAAAAGAAATCCTATTTTGTAACATATAGATTTTTATTTTATATGGGTTATACAAACTGCAGGGGCAGACATGCAACCTAAGCCAGATTTTTTTTTCTCTCTTTCTTTTAATGAAGGCACAATAAAACACTTAGCAAGGTTATTTTAACACATAGGCCCACAAAATTCTTAAAGGGTATAAGACCTTATTCAGAACATGTTATGGCTTATCACATCTCTAAAGTTAGTATTTCAAAGTCAACAAAAAAGAATGTTGCAATTTTATAAAGCTGATTGATCAGATCAGCAATTAAGATTCTATTCCCATTTAAATGTCTCACCCAGTTTTCCTTTAGCAGACCCACCCTGTAAGCATGACAAGTTAAGTTTCATCTGAGATTAAATTAGGGTAGGCATCTCTATTCTAATATTTAGTTGGACCTGTTTTGGACAGAAGGTTGATGCTGATTTTTGAGGCATCTTCCCAAACAGTATTCTTTTATGAGGTCATTTGGATTAATTAGAAAAAATAAAAATAAAACCTAATCAGCCTGAGCAAAAGGGAATGAAACACTTTCCCAGAATGTGGTGAGCCCATAATGTTAAATTCAGCCTTGGGAGAAGAGAGCCCTGTGGGACAACAATGACATCATCCTGGATGCCATATTGCTACCATCCCTGGAAGGAGTCATTTACCTCCTGGGTAATTACTTATCCCCATCCCCTACCCATTCCTGTATACAAAAATTTCTCCTGCTAGACTCTCTCTCTCACTTAGATCCTAAATAATGAATTAATATTCCAATGAGTGGTTCTTTTTCTTTCACGAAATAAGCTCTTCACCTTAGATTTTGAGATATATGAAGACCTTTTTATCATATGTCCCCATCAAAAGCCAAAGTAACCAGAATATGCAGAAAGTATTAAAATTTGAACAATATTTTTTAAAAAAAGATCTATCTTCCTCTGCAAACCTGATAGAGAGACTAGCAAAGCTCCCATAGATATTTATGGGGCCACAGAATGTCTGATTCCAAGAGCTGGTAAGAGAACTGCAGCCTCAGCTATCCAGAGTGCAGATACAAATCTAGCCACATTCTTCCTTTCTGTATAGACTGGGAAGTTCAATAGTCAGAAAGGCTACTACTGGTACAGAAGAAAGAGGGCTCTGTCCTTTCACACATAGAAATACCCCATAATGTAACCAGGATGTAGCCATCTAAAATCTTCATGAGTTTTCCCCCACCTTATTTCTCCTAGGTGGTATATAACATTCAGACTTGATATGGCTTTGGGCTTTTCTGTCTAGAAAGCAAATGGATTCCCTATGGCATCTAGAAAAAAAAATAACTTTATCTACATTGTAGACTTTCTCTAATGGGCAAGCATCCCTCTCCTTTCTAGAATTGACTCCTGAGAATACGCACAACATTGACCATCCATCTTGAGCTTCAGGCCCAAAGGTCTCATTTCAGAGGCAGAGACTCTAATCTATCAAACCCGCTGTTTTACTTGGAGAAGATGATGGGGTTCTGAACCCTGTTGGACCAATCTCTCTCTCCCCAGGATGCTTAGCACCTGGAGGACAGATCCTATAGCAGAACCTGTTTGTAGCTTGATGGCATGGTGGAATTTAAAAGGAGAATTTGTACCTGTGTATGAAGTTCCAACCAAATAATTTTTACCAATAGGGTTTCTTCTCTCTCCCACCTCTGCCCTTTCTAGGTCCTTCTAGTTCTTTCCTCAGATTTGCTGGGAAACTTGCCCAGGCCTGTCCAGGGAAATCCTTACCACCCATAGCCCAGGAAAGGAGGCAAATTAAATCCTAATGGCTCCCAGTAATTTAATAAGTACTCTTTAAGGTAGATCTGTAGTCCTCACAAGATGGAAGGAGGAAGGGAAGAAGGAAGGAACCAAGGGGAAAAAAAAAAGAAGGAAGAGAGAGTGTTTTGAACATTAGCCCAAATTCCCAGTGCCAGAAATCTTTATGTGGGACCATTCTTTAAAAATCTTAGAAATGTTTGGTTTTAGCTTTAATCATAATTGACATGGCCATTTTTATTTATACAGCAATATTGTGTTAATTATTTAAAATACTTGAAAAAAAAGTACAGTATGTCTTTATCTGAGACCTACAAATGGTATGGACTTCACGTACTGTCACAGGATGTAAGGCAAGAAAAGGAAATTGAGTGTGTGTGACTGTGTTGCCTTTATTACATTGATAGTACTGTCTTGTCACCTCAGATTGGGGTTGTGCACTTTATATCTGAACTGTACAGTGTCGCAAATCAACATGTGTTGCTGTAAAAGCTTGTACAATATATTATTGGTATGTTTTCTTCTGTGTGGTAGCTGTGTTGAACTTTGATATTATGAGAACTGCACTTGCTTGTGTTCCTGTTCTTTCTCTCTCCTCTCTCATCCTCCCCTGCCAAAATAAAATGTATGCCCTCCACATCAGCTCTAATTGAGAACTTGCCCTCAGCTAAGTCCCCTCTTGAGAAATCTCCTTTGAGAACTGTGTGATTTCAGAAAATGCAAGGTGAACACTACTTCATCTCTAGGAATAAAAGAAAAAAACAATTATGGAGTGTCACAAATAGCCAACATTGCAGGTGTTGGCTGCTGGGCCTTGGAGTAGGTGCTACTCCTCAGAATATGGACCAAGAAAGCACAGGTGTAAATATAGTAGCAGGACAAAGAATGGAGGAACCTCAAACTGGGAATCATCTTGCACGTGCTCTTCTGTTTTAAGTGCTAAATGCAAACTGTGTATCTATTAGTCATGTGTGCCAAAATACTGTTCCCAACTGGTGTTTCTGAATGACATCGACATTTCCCCAGCGTCACTCCATTACTAAAGACAGAAAAAAAAATTAAAAATAAAGTATACAAACGTGGTAACCTGTTCTTCTTACCAAATGTAAACTTGTGTATGATCAAAGTATTTTATCTGTGTTGTCTCTCTAAACCCAAATAAATGTGTAAATGTGGACAACTCTCAAGCAGTGGATGATTATTTCTGACTCTGTCGTGTGGTAAAGATAATTTTCAATGAATTTCTTGGGGAAAAGACCCTTCTCTTGTCCTGGAGTTCAGGGTGTTTGGGAGTCTTACCTCTTCATCCACTCTTTTCTGGAACTTCTGGAGGATATTGTTTGTACAACTATGGTTTCTTCGTCAATCAAATGCAATCTTTCAAAAAACATTTTATTATGAAAATTTCACATACATAAAAAAGTGGGGTAAATAGCCTAATAAACTCCTATGTAGCCTTCACCCAGCTTCAACATTTACTGATTCAGAGCCTGAAACTTGGTTCATTTATTCCTCTATCCCATTTTCTCCTCATACCAAATTATCTTGGTATGAATCTGTGAAAAATAAGGACTCTTAAAAATTGTCAATACTATTGTCGCAGCTGAAACTATAATCATATTTCCATAATAATATCAAATAATATTATTTCCCCCATTCTCAGTTCCATAGAAAACCCATGACCTAGAAAATTCAAAGAGGTCACATGTTTCTGAGTGGATGGGATGTCCAAAACAGAGCGCCATATGCACATAGGTTATGATTATGATGTGCATTTTCTGTGGTAAATGCATTTCCAGACCTCCGTGATGTACAAGTGTTAGAGGTCATATGGGTTCAGGGGCTTTTCTCCTAAGCTCTTAAGAGCAGGTGTGGGTAAGTTAAAAGCTAGAAAACCATAGGGATTTAATAGATGGATGTTCTTTTGGGGGGCCAGGCTACTCCTAAAAGTCTGAGTACCCTTAATGATAGGGTGCTGGAGTAAAAAGATACTATTTCAAGCAGATGTCGGGGTGAGGAAGGACATAAGGGGGGAAAGATTACAAGATTTTCCAGTTAACTGAATTGGAGCTCACAGGGAAACCAGTAGAAAATTACCAACTAAAGAGAAGCTGCTGTGCATTCCTGCCTTTGTTCACATTATTCCCTGGTTCTAGAAAGAATTTCCCATTCCTCTTTGATCTGGGGAGCAGGATATCGTGAATGTTGAGAGTACAGGCTTGGGAGCCAGATTACCTGGAATAAATCACAGCCCTACTACTGACCATCTGGGAGACCCTAAGCACATCAACTAAATACTCTGACTCTGTTTCCCAGTTTTGGAACAGTAACCTCCTTTATAAGGCTTTTGTTGGATTGGATAAAATGTATGTATGACACTTAGCATGGCTCTTGGCACCCAATAATTACTTAACAAGTCTTATTCTTGCACTGCTGATGTAATGATATATGAATTCTATAAGTCAGCTCATGCCACCTTGCTGAGAGCCACAGCCAAGTCAGAATGGCCCCTGGAATTTTGCCAATAGTAGTGGTTGAGAGGTGACGCCAGCGAGTTCTTGCGGAGTTCCCGTTGAGTTCCAGTTGAGCTCTTGCGGGATTCCTGAAGAGTTCGCATTGGTTGGGGAAGTGCCGGAGGAGGGATTTCCGGTTGGTGGTTCCTAGAGGAGCCGCATGGCATTCGGGAGAGTTCCCCGGGGAGCATGTGTGGAGTGTGCTTGTGGAGTTCAGAAATAAAATTTGTTCCTGCTTCAGTGGCTCGTGATTTGTGCCCAGCCAGACTACGGCACCACTTCCTTAAACACTCATCCTTCTTTAAACTCCCCAACTACTTACTTTTGGTTAGTAGAGTTCATTGGACACCTACTCAACAAGTTCAGACTGAGAACGTCATCTTTTGCATTGTCTTCTGCTTTAATTGCCTTCTGTTTATTATAAACAACATCTGTTTCTTTTCCTCCCATCTTAGTTCCCTTCCCTTTTCACTTCCCTCCACCAACACACAGCCCTAATATGATTCTCCATGGTCTCTGTAGCGTATTATGGGTAGTCCTCTATCCATATAGGTCCATGGATCCTCCCCTGGTGCATGGCATGAACTTGGCCAAGCCCACTAACATCCCCGGGCTTCTCAGCTGAGTAGTGGCGGGAGGTGAGGCCACTTGATCTCCAAGGAACAATGTAAGTAGAAGCTGGTTTGACATTACAGGCTTATAGATCTTGCCCATCTAGAGGAGCTTCCATATATTAATCCAGCATCCTCATTTTAG